ACCAGCAGGGAAGAAATAGCCGTTGATCTCGGCCCCTCCGTCTGGAACCACCCTCCACAGCGGCAAGCCCGTAGCACTGTGCATACGCAGCGCCTCCTTGATGACAGCCTGGAAATACGGCATCTCCTGACTCTCCCTGAAGGTGACTTTGTCACTGCACTTTCCCGCAGCTGCAAACTCGTCGATCTCGCGCCTGAGTTTCTCCATGACCTCCGGATAACGCAGGAGATAATACATGATGGCCGACAGACTGATGGCAGTGGTGTCCGAGCCCGCAATGACGTTGGACATCCCCATCATGAAAACATGATAATCCGTCACCTTCTCCGGATCCTTGTCCCGCGCCAGGATCATCTTCTCGACAAAGCTCTGCGTCGCCAGAGGACCGCGCTCGGCTTGCCCAAGGTCAGCCTTTACAGAGAGATCTCTGATCTTCTCCTGGACGAATCGCATGATATACGCTCTTCCCGCTGCACCAGACCAGCTGAACCGGCTCAGTGGCCCAAAAAGCCGCGGATGCCACTCGGGGTATATGCCCACAAGCGTACTGTACGTCATCAGCCGCTGCAGCGCGGCAATCGTCCCTTCGATATCCTCTCCGCGATCGAGGAAGCCTCCAAACGTCAGCCGCACACTGGCCCAACAAGGCAAGCCGACTCACCAAACCGCTGCCCATAAGTGATATCCCCAATGACATCAAACGCATAACACTGGAACCAATGACCCAGGTTGAACTCCTCGCCGCGGGCCGCGAATTCCCGCAGCCGCATGCAGAAGAGATCCGCGCACCGATCCACAAACTCCTCGTAATGCACGAGCGAGGTCATGGAGTAAAGGCTCGAGAACCGCTTGCGCGTTTCCGCTACAATCGCTCAGCATTCTATCACGGAGTGATAAGAGCCAAGGAGAGGAGGTGATGCATACCATGCCTTTTAATGTCCCGATCAGGAAACAAAGTCCACTGGTTTGGATCCGGGTGCTTCCACCCCTCGTACCAGGCGGATTTGGTGAACTTGCTCCCCGTCCCGTAGACGGTCTTTACGGCTGCCCGCCCGGAGATACTATAGTGGTCTGGGGCGATGCGGACGACGGGCCCGTATCGCAGGTGCAGGGCGATATTGTCTTTCTCGAAGTGGCCAGTTCGCACGCGGTGGAAGTACCAGAGTTTCGTGAGGCGGGCGAGGAAGGGGCCTGGGATTCGGCGGAGGGAGAGGGTGCGGAGGGTTGTGGAGAGAGTGCAGAGGAAGGGGTAGAGGATAAGGATGAGTATGGGTATTAGGATGAGATACATTTTGTTGACATTGATGATGGAGATTGAGTTTTGGTGTAGATGTCGTCAGGTATACTACTACTATAGATATATATCTCTGTGTGTGGTGGAAAATTGGAGATGCTCATGCTCCACCCCCGCCCCCACCGCCACTGTGGGGTCTCTCTGGGGCAGCTATAAGCTATAATGTGTGACGTAGAACCAAGGCACTATTCGGCTTTACCCCAGATGAAAAATATGCTCATGAGTACGGAGTAATATCATGGATACACTTTAGGCCGCAGTACCCGAGTCCTAATGACGTCCAAACGGTTTTCTCGGTACTGTTTCTGATGTACGAGGAAGGGGAGATGACCCMGAGGCCGGTGTTGGGTGTCCACTGCTACCAGCTTTGGAGGTTATGGTTAGCTGTTTATATTGAGTATGAGGAGATTCATTAAGATTAAGGTTATTTAACTGTCTCGCATATCGAACCCTGAAGCCAGTCATCATTGGGTAGGGCCGCACCGTAGGCATAATACATATAAAGGAAGATAGACGAAAGTAAGACCGTCAGATGTTACAATATTATTCTCAGTTGCCTGCCTACAACGAAACTGGGATACTGATATTGCTCAACTCCCTGATATCCGTTCATCAAAAAGCGACATAGAGGGAATCGGGACACCCTCTCCTACAGAACAAACCGGAGGAGAACCCTTCCCCAGCCTCCTATCCAACCGATTCGACAACGACCGCGCAGCCACAAACGCCATATCCGATTTCGTCCCCAGACACCACAGCGCCGAGATACAGAACTCGCAGTTCCGCCTTGCATACTCCGAGGGACCATCCGGCCTATAGCCATGCGATAGCGGCGTGATATCATCAAGAAGAATGTACGCCGCCTTGGCGAAACACCGAATAAGCACGACCGTCCACGGCTCAGTCAGAAACGCAGCCTCGTTCACCGCGTCGTGGTAGAACCGGATGCGATTGGCCAGAGACTTCCGGCCCTGCAGACTGCGTTGCGCGATTGCCCCGACAGCGAGCGCGTTGTCCCGTCGGAGGGTGGCGACAAAGTCGATTGCGATGCGGGCTTCGCGGCGGCTTTCCAGGCCGAGGCGGCCCTCGTCGATGCCTTTCACGGTGTCGGCTAGCAGCATGGCTGCGAGGTGCCAGTGGCCTGCGACGATGACGTACCAGGACTGGATGCGCGGGGGGAGGTCGTCGTGGTTGGCGTTGCAGCTCTGGAAGAATTGCTTGTATGTGGTGTTCCAATGCTGATAGATACGGAGAGTCTTCTGGATGATCTCCTCCAGGCGCTCAGGGCTGGCGCCGCGGTAGACGAGGGTTTGGAGGCGGGTGACCTGTCGGAAGAGCAGGACTTTGACGGGGCTTGCGTCGGAGAGGATCTCTGCAGCTTCTTCATAGGAGCATGGCCAGCGGGGCGGGTTCGAGCCCTGGCGTGCGGCCCGTTTGTGGAGGAAGAAGTCGCCCCATAGGTCTTGTTTCTCCTTCAAGGCGCGGGTGTATGTGATGTTCCAGCCGTCGAGGTCGACGTTGCTGTCGGTTTTTGCGTTGGACGGCGACACGGACGTTATCTGGCTGTCCTCGTCTGAGATGGCCAGCGGACGCTGATACATGGCGGCCTGCAGGGTATCGAACATGACCACCAGCCAGAAAAGAAGGTTGACGGTTTCCTGGTGCTCGGGGTCGGCGTAGAACGCGTCCGTCTGTGGAGGGGGTGTATCGGCCATGCTGGGTAGATCGATATTGCTCTCCTGCGGCGAACTTTGTGACTTTGGTTTCTGCCGCTCCAGGCGCGTCAGTTTATATCGGATGGAAAACAGCTGTCGCACAGCCGCCTCCATGAACAAGGGCGCGCTGTCATTCTCCAGCAACTCATGAAGTTCCATATCCTCGTCGACATTGAGCGGACGCTGTCCGACGGAGAAGATGATGTTCGCAAAAGCCACCCGGAAAGAGGGAATACCGGCGGCATTCTCCAGAGCACGGCGCGCCTGGTTCCAGAGGTTCTCTCGGATGACACGCTCGTGCTGCGCGACGGGCGAGGTCGGCGAAAAGCCATTGCTTCTGGGCATCTTCTGTGCCCACTGCGAGGCAAACGCCATGATCGCGGTGTGGAGAGCTCTCGATGCCATTTTCTCTTCTGCGGCACTCAGATTTCGACCACGAACGGAGGAGTACGCTCGATCTAGACGACATACTCGAGTACAGATCCGGTTCGTCCAGTTCGGTCCCCATGCCGCTTGCGCTTTACTGGACAGCCCACCCGGTGAGGTGTATAGGACTGCCGTGTTGTAGGGACAGTTCTGCTCTGTGAGCCAGCAGGACAATGCATTCTCCATGCTGTCATGGTATATGCGGATGAGATTCTGTGTCATCATCGAGCGGGCATAGCTGTCAGAAATATTATCGGAAAGAACAAATAGATTGTCTTTATTCCCAAACGGATGTACACTGTCCGCTGTGAAAGTTGGTAGACCGTCACCGCTGCTATCCGGTATCACAAAGCCAGGGGACGAGGAGTAATAAGAACCGCTCAATCCCGGACTTGAATCATCAAACTGTTGAAGCAAATCGAGAGTCTCGTCGAGAGAGTGCGGTCCCGAGCTCGACAAGCTCTGCTGGTAGTAGTCAAAGCTCGAGCCACTGTCCTCGGCCGAGCCGGACGTTTCCGCATTGCTCGGCGGCACCTGTGCTGTGTTTGCGTTCCAAAGCATGATACTGAACGGGTCGAGTTCAGATTCCCTGCTTCTCAGCGGTATTGAGATGGCATTCGGCTGCATCGACCAAGTTCCTGGCTGATCGACAGAACCGCTCGACGACACTCTATTCCCGGCACTGCCAGATAACCACGACGAGGAGTACAGCATATCGTCCAGCAGGTCCGTCTCCGAGCGACTTGAAACCACATCTCCCTCAGCTCTAGGCAAGTTGCTCGCATTACGACTTTTCTGCTTTCGAACCCCCCGCGCGGCGGCCCGGTTTTCAGCTAACCAGTTGAACGTACATTCTCGATTGTATTTCCTGCAGTTCGAGCACGGGATATTGAGATTGCTCTCTGCTAGCACCCTTCGACTGCTCGCCTCGTGGCGTGCTGCTGATGCTCCTGCTACAGGTGAATTTGAACCGTGCCGGTCTCTCCGAGCGGGAGCATCGCACGCCCTCTTCCCCTTCCGACATGGATCGCAGCTGTGGTGTTGGCGTCGTCGGTGAGGCTCCATCGCGGCACTTGAAATAACTGTCTAAACGCTAATGATTGTCCGCATACCGATTCGGCTATTACCGGGTTCGATGGCTATTGTGGAGTGAGAGCTAAAGATATTTGTTGGAGATACGGTATGGGGGGAGACTTCATGGTTAGGTGGGTTTTGAAGCTTCGAGCCAAGAGGACAATGCGGGGTCTGGGGATTCGCGGACTTTAGTGTTAGAGGAAGGAGTCCACGAGACTTGACTGGTCTATCGATGCCTAAATCTAGACGCACTAGATAGAGCCGTTGGAGCAGAGTGGTGCTCTGGTTGGCGGTTGGATTGTGGTGGCTGTTGCTATATCCACTTCTTGTTGGCGGGCGGAGATACCCCATGGGGAGTTGCCGTTGGAGAGCTTCAGCCTTTCGGGGCACCGGAAGTATAGAGTTTTAAACAAAGAATGATAGATGGACGGCGAATTGGCCAATCATATAGAAATAATCAAAGCAACTACTCAATCCCTACGGCAGAGAGCCTAATCCTGAACCAGACCACGGTAGACAGCAGACTCTACATCCAGCCAAAGACGCAAAACCTGAGGATCGGCAAAGGGCAAGAGCTGAGTGCAGATCATCCCTGCGACCCCTTTCTCCCTATCGCACCACCACCACAGATTTGCCAGTCCCGCCCAGTGCGCCGTCCCTTCAGACCGTCCCGTTGCTCCTCCGGTCAGCATAAACGTGAGTCCCCATCCCTGAGGTGTCGACGATGGGTACAGATGACTTATTGCATTGGTGAGGTCACGTTTCGAGGCTGGGATTCCTTGTGCCGCGAAATTGGGAATATTGGGAATCTGGTTTCGGAACATCTCGTCGACTGTCGCTTTCTCGAGTATTTGCTTGCCAGTGATTGGCGAGATGCCGTCGTTTAGGAGTGTAGCAAGGATTTCTGCGCCGTTGCGGACAATCAGTATTTTCTCAGAATAGCAGGTATAGTACGAGAGACACATACGACAGTAATCTTGTGGTTTAGCGAAACAGCCCGCTCCACCACTGTTGAAGCACGACTTGATGTCCTCGGCGGTCTGCACAACCAGAGGCCGCCGAAGCAGGTGGTCTCGACCGGAGAGCTGGCCTTGAGCGTCTCTCTGATTCATGTACGCCAAGTTCTCCTTCATTGACGCCGATGGAAACATCGAAATGTTGTTCAGCCCAAGGGGCTCAAAGATGTTGCGGTGGTAATAGTCGTTCAATGACTGTCCTGTGACTCGCTCCACCATGACTCCTGCCCAGTCGATGTTGACCTTAAACATGAATTAGATGAGGGAAATAGGAGCAGCTTTGCTAGCTGGACGAACACACCCCATATTCCCACTTCTCCCCAGGCTGATGAACCAATGGCTGCAGAATATCGTAGATGTGTCCTGAGAACTCGTCGTAACCAATCGGCTTGCTATAGTCTCTCAGCTTTTCATTAAAAAATGTATAGCCAAAGCCAGCTTTGTCCCCAGTCAGTCAGCAATTGCTTTTACGAGAAAGCATCTACTCACCGGTATGGTTTAACAGCATCCTCAAGGTGATTCCTCCGCGCTTCTCGACCAACGCCCCATCATCCTGCAGCACCTTCACCTCTTTCAGCTCAGGGCAAATCTTCTCAACCTGATCGGAATCATCCAAGTTCAAAAGCCCCTGTTCGACAAGCTGCATACACGCAATTCCCGTGATCATTTTCGTGCACGAGGCAATCCAGAAGATACTGTCGAGCGTCATCGGCTCTTCAGAGCCATACCCACGCTTTCCACTCGCATGCGCAAAGTGTTCTTTGCCATCCTTGCCAACGACCACCACCACTGCACCTGGGATACCCTTTTCTTGGTCTGCGCATGCTGCATCTACTCTCTTTTTGAGAGCACTCACCACTTGAGAGGAGAGAGAAGCCATTGTGAGAAGTAGAAACCCAGTTATCTGTGGTCAAATCCCGTCCTTGCTTGAGTGATCGAACTGGATATAACGGGCGTCGTTACCCCTCATCATACGACCATACCTCAGTGGTCGGCATCGAGCGTCCCACAAATTGCAGTTTTGAATCTAGTAAGTGGGCTAGAACAAAGCCAAGTGGAGTCAGGACTGGACCTGAACTGTCTCCCACTGATTGCTACAATGGACTCAAGGTTTGCGGAACCGCACGCTGATACCTCGGTCAGAACTGCGATGGTCACCCTCCAGAATTTGTCTATCAGTGCGGATCCGCACTGATATGCAAGCCAGTGACAATGTGGTGACGATTATCTGCCGATTGTTTGTGGTGTTGCTTTTTGCGTGCGGGGAAGACGAGGAGAGAAGCGGAGGTATGCTCCGCGTCTACATACTGGCAGAAGTACCTTGCATGCTTGTCGGTAACTTATCTTTCGAGCCCCTATGATTCCCCTACACTGAGTGCGTCAAGAGGGGAAAGCAAGTCGAGTATGTCCATGGTGATAGGAAAAGCCTCGGCTGAGTTGAGGGTGATAATGCGTGCTTCATGCAGTCTGTGTAACAATCCCAGTCTAGGCGCCTCCTACATCGGCTTATACAGGTGATCCTTGTCCAGGTTTCAGCAAGAGGGGCTGGATATGTTTGCCTGGACGAGCATGGGTTACTCGTGAACTGCATAGGGAGCATTGAGCTCAAGACTACTTAAAGTAGGTTGAAATCATCGGTTACACGTCAGGTTCGCTAAAGACCTGAATCAAAGTAATTGACTCATAGCTCAACCTCAACATGCATATCAGGAAGGAACTTAGTGAATATGTCTCCCGTCGGGGCACGACTGGGCCCTACGCTGATAACCTCAACGTCGATGTCCTGATCGTGGGAGCCGGATTCGGCGGCATCTACTGCCTTTATGAAATGCGGAAGCTAGGTCTCAAGACCGTCATATACGAGGCCGGCGATGATGTGGGCGGCACCTGGCGCTGGAACTGTTATCCAGGAGCCGCGGTGGACTCGGAAATTCCAGAGTACCAGTATTCCATTCCAGAGACTTGGAAGGATTGGACCTGGTCGACCAACTACCCCAACTACGAGGAGCTGAGACGCTACTTTGACCATGTTGACCAGGTGCTCCAGGTAAAGAAGGACTGCGCCTTCAACAGCGTGGTGGTGGAGGCCCGGTTTAACACAGACGAGGGCCGCTGGCACGTCAAAACGGCCGACGGGAGAATGGCATCCTCAAAGTACCTCATCATAGCCGCTGGATTCTCTGCAAAGCGGTACATTCCCGAGTGGCCGGGAATGGATGAATTCAAGGGCATCGTCCATCACTCCTCCTTTTGGCCGGGCGAGCACACAATCGATGTCCGAGGAAAGCGCTGCGCCATTATCGGCACCGGCGCGTCAGGCGTCCAAGTGACGCAGGCCTGGGGCCCAAAGGCCGGCTCGCTCAAAGTCTTCCAACGGACCCCCAACTTGGCCATTCCCATGCGGAAACGCCCCCTATCCGTCGAGTCTCAGCAAGCAGCCAAAGCACTATATCCAGAACTGTTCTCGCTCCGCGAAAAGGCCTTCGCGGGATTCCTGTATACATTCTCCGAAAAGAGTTTATGGGAAGATAACGAAGAAGAACGGGACGCTTTTCTCGAGAAGGTATGGGCAGATGGGGGCTTCCGCTTCTGGGTCGCCAGCTACCGCGACTATCTCTTCGACGCTGAAGCCAACCGCATCGTGTACGACTTCTGGTGCAAGAAGGTCCGCCAGCGCATCGGCGATCCCAAGGCTCGAGAGCTGCTCGCGCCGCGCGAGTTACCGCACTACTTCGGCGTCAAGCGTCCTTGTCTTGAGGAAAATTACTTTGAGCAGTTCAATCGGGAGAATGTCGAGGTGGTGGATATCAAGAATAACCCCATCGTCGCGTTCACCGAGACCGGCATCAAGCTCGAAGATGGCACAGTACACGAGGTCGATGTCGTCTGCGTCGCGACTGGATTCGACGTCACCACCGGCGGTATGACCAGCATGGGATTGACTAGCATCCACGACACGACACTCAAAGACGAGTGGAAGGACGGCACGTACACGTATCTTGGCCTGACGGTCAGCGGGTACCCGAATATGTTTCATCTGTATGGACCGCAAGGACCGACGCTGCTCAGCAACGGACCCACGACCGTGGAGGTACAGGGCCGCTGGATTGCAGACGCGATCAAGCAGATTGAGCGGCAGGGGATCAAGTATATTGACCCTCTCCCGGAATCAGCTCATGCTTGGAAGAAACGGATCAATGAACTTTCGGACCTCTCGCTCTTCCCTACTACCAAGTCCACGTATATGGGTGGGAGCATCCCTGGGAAAGTGTTTGAGCAGGGAAATTATGCGGGCGGTGTACCGCAGTATTTGACTGAGATTCGCGCCGCTCTCCCGAATTTCGATGGGTTCAATACTGTTAAATATTAGGCAGGATACCCTGCGTTTGGAGATAGTCAATCCTTTCTATTAGCTCCTAGTTACAAACGCTTGCTTCCATTCCAATTCCGAAAAAACCAGACACCGTACCTTGCGTTTCAAACCAATATACATAGCGCAAGTCCGCATAGATATAAGGAAATTTTGTCAAAGGGGAGAAAGGCAGAAATAGTACATGAGTTGGGAAAAGCATAACCAGACATGACAAATCATCCTGATCAACTGCAGAGGGCCGCCATTGCGTCAATCACTTCCTATCGCCCCAAAGCCCGACAATACCCATAGCAAGCGCAATTCCCGAGCATACTGCTCTAGCACACTGCAGCCGTCTCTCGCGAGCCATCTCCTCCCGGACACTCTCGCCATTCACCGACTCCTCCTCGGCCTCAACAACGACAAGGTCCTCGTCCTTCTTGGCGCCGTTCCTGCGAGGGAAGGACATGCACCCGGAGTCCTCGATGAGGCTCTGAGCCCAGGCCTTGAGGCCGAGTTCCCGGTGGAACCAGAAGTCCATTCCGTATGACCCGACGATGGACGCGACGCACATCCAGATGAGGTAGGGGTGTTTACGGTGCTTGGGTGAAAGGGAGTATGCGAAGATGAGGCAGCCGTTGGCAATGTTTGTCAGTCGTAAACCATGTTTGCGGTTGAGGCGCTTGACTTCATTGAGAGATCGGAGAGCGTTGGCAGAGGTGGGGAGAAGGCTCAAGGAGGGGATTGTGACAGCGGAGGCGGAGTAGGATAGGCCCTGTGATGGTCTTTTTAGTCTCTTGATCCGACATATTGGAGTTATAAGTTCGAGCGCAAATCTACGAATGGTCAGTGTAGAGACTTACTGTGAGAATGCCCAAGGACACCGTTCCCACGAATTTAGTGACGGTGATAGGGCACGCCATTATGCTAGATGGCACGTTGATGACAAAAGTAGTGATTCTCACAATGTCACAGCAGATGTCGATTTTTGTTGGTATCGACGCAGACAATCCAACGCGTGATTTGATGCGGAAGAAGATGGATCACAATCATGGAGCCCTTAGAAGGAAGGTGGAGAAGCCGCCGAAAAGTGACGTCGGGAATATGGGCCGACCAACCAATGGCTGACCGCCAATTAGGTAGCTTGTTGTTTGTGCCTTACAGCCTGAGGCACCTGCACCTAGAATCTTCGATGCAAAAAGCAAAGTATGCGCCAAAGTAGGTATCCATAGAGCAGTAATCAAAGACACTTGAAGGAGACTAATTGGCTTGTTTGAGACATCTACTATCAGCGAGGTCTTGATCCGTCAGCATCTACTCCATATGAAGCATACTAGACTTGACATGTGACCGGCGTATCTGTGGTCAGCACAAGCGCCATCAGACTACACAAAAACTGAAATCCGATCGACTACTTGAATTATAAAAATCATACTGAGGACATCAATATCATCTTTGACTATTTTGGTGCTGTTTGAGGTTGAGTAAACACTAATCATTAATCGGACATTCCGAGGCTCCCTACCGAACAGCCGCGGCATCTTGGCCACTGTGGGGTATGGGATACAGCTAGCTGGCCCTACACTAATGCACTAACTTGAGCTACCATCTCGTTTCAATTCATCTATCTGGGGTTTGAACTCTGTTGATCTGTCAAGAGCTAGAATCTATCAACAGTTCAATCAAGACAACATTGTCACCGCGGAAATGTCACTTCCCACCGAAGACTACATCAGCGACTCCTGGAAAGAGGGCCTCTTCAGTGAGTCCCCCATTGAACTCATAGCAACCAACCCGCTAACATAACGTCCAGCAAACAAAGTCGTCTTCTGCACAGGTGGCGCAGGCACCATCTGCAGTGCGCAGGTTCGCGCACTCGTCCATCTAGGCGCGGATGCATGCATCGTCGGCCGAAATGTCGAGAAGACCGAAAAGGCAGCCAAGGACATTGCGACCGCTCGTCCAGGAGCCAAGGTCATCGGCATTGGCGCAGTTGATGTCCGCAAGTATGATGATCTGAAGAATGCCGTCGATCGCTGCGTCAAGGAGCTCGGGGCTATCGACTTTGTCATGTAGGCTGCCCCCGTCGAGTTCAATGCACTTTGCTAACAGGAGTCCATGATAGCGCCGGTGCAGCTGGCAATTTCCTGGCTTCTATCCAGCAGCTGTCGGTAAATGCTTTCAAGTCGGTGATTGATATCGATGTGCTGGGGTCATACAATACCCTCAAAGCGACGATTCCTCACCTCGTCGAATCCGCGAAGAAGCACAGGGTTGACTCGGAGACTCGTACGTTATCCCGTTTCAGGCTTGGATCGCATCTGACCGTTTTATAGTGCGGCCCTCGCCGCTCGGCACCGGTGGACGCATCATCTTCGTCAGCGCCACGATCCACTACCGCGCAATGCCTTTCCAGGCGCATGTGGCCGTCGCCAAAGCCGGCATCGACGCCTTGTCTCACACCGTGTCCATCGAGTATGGTCCGCTGGGCGTGACTTCGAATATCATTGCTCCTGGACCCATCGCTTCCACAGAGGTACATCGCCCTTTATATGGAGTAACGAATTTTGTATCTAACATTCATAGGGTCTCGACCGCCTCCTGCCTTCTGATATAAAAGAAACATACACCAAATCCCAACCCCTGGGCCGTTTCGGCTCCGTCCGTGATATTGCCGATGCGACGGTCTATCTCTTCTCCAATACCGGTAGTTATGTTTCTGGCCAGGTCCTTGTCGGTAAGTTGTCTTCTGTGCGAATCAAAACCAAAACCCTCTGGCTGACGCGCGGTAGTTGACGGTGCGAGTTGGCGCATGTCGTCTGGCGGTGCGGCGTACGGGCAGCTGCAGTATCCGGATTTCCTGCTCACCGGGGACGCAGTGCAGAACGTCAAAGGGCAGAAGAAATCGAAGCTCTGATTGGGGAATAGATTGCGGAAAGATTACTTTTCTCTTTGTTGGACCCGTATAGATTAGTTTGCGCCTGTTCTACAGTATTATTATAAGACATGCTACGCGTTGCTCCGCGATCATATGATAACTGATAAAATGTCGAAGTGTGAACATATCGAACACGGCATGTTAATGTAAGGTAGCAACCTGGCAGACACCTGATCCAATCGCTGCCGATTGACCGGATGATGTCCTGCACCAATCAAGTACTGTTGGTACAGGTGTCTAAGACAATGCCTTTGTGCTGTTCAATGTCCCAAGTGCTAGGCTGTCTTCCGCCATGCCAACATTGAACAAAGAACAATGACTTGGGCAGAGACATCCTATACACTCAACCCACCCTTCTGAGACCTGCTACTTGGACTGAATATGTGATGTCTTCAACGCGCTATCACCACCACTCGCCCAGATGGCGTGTTCGAGGTGAGTGCAACATTGTAGATAAAATAGCTGTATATAAGAACCTGTGCCCGTCCTTGACCGCAACTTCGGCTCTACTTTGAATTTTCCCACTTCGACTATTCCCTCTCGAAATCCAATCCAACCTTTGTCTACACATCTATATACGCTTTTGTTATACTGAAGACACCCAACAGTTACCAACCATGGATCCCCTCGATCAGCTCACCGATTTCGAATTCCTCCTGGAACAGGTAAGACATGTCAAGAAAGACAGGAATGTCCCGATTCAGGACCAAGCTGAGTATTTTCACAAAACTTTAGTCGACCAGATTGGATCCTTCTCCGAAATAGAGAAGAAGCACATGTACAGATATCTCAAGCTCAGCCGCGATAATGAAGAACTCCAGGCTTCCTACGATGAGCTGAACGAATCGCTCAGCCAAGAACTGCGTAAGGTCGAGTGCAAAACTGCGGAGCTGAAGGACGCCAAAACTGCTCTGAGAGAGGCGCAGAAAGAGTGCGAGGCCAAGGAGGAGTACATCCGCGACGCGGAGACAGCGAATGCTGCCCTCAAGGAGAAGAATGAAGAGCAGAGAAGTCTGATCAAATCGTACAAGCAGGATTGGAAAGATATGAAATATGAGCTGGAGCTCCGTGACAGAACAATCGACGATCTGCAGGCGAGCTTGCGGAGCAAGGGCGCCCTTGTCGATAAATATGAGCGTGAAATCGAGCAATATCGAAAGCAGCGCAAAGAATGGGAACGGCAAGTGGATGAAGTCGCCCAATATCTGGATGACAAGAGCGAGATCTTGAAATGGCTCAATGAAGTAAGCAGACCTTTGAAAGACAAACCAAAAGCATCAGATTCTGGAGCGGCAAGTTCAGGATCATCGAGTGCTGAAGCGTCGAGCTCTGACATACGTAAGGTGTCAGACTCTGTGGTGGGATCAACAACAGATGACGGAGAAGAAGATGAGACAGATTATACTACAGATTCCGAGAAGGAGGGTAAAGCAACCTCTGCGACAGGCTCGTCTAGAGACCGGCGACTGGACCTGCAAGAAAGCGCAATGGACTGTTCGAGTGAGGTGATCGGCGTGGACGAAACGAAGTCAATATGTGGTGCTACCCTTGACGAAGAAATGATGTACTTGTCTGACAGTCTATCAGCTCTGTCCATCGGGGGGGAGGCATCTCCAACGGAATGCCATATGACCGATTGTCACGAGATACCATCTCCCGCAAGCTCGTATGACTTGGATCTTCTACCGCAACGGCGAAAGCGGCGAAAGCAGCGAGCGAAAGAAGTTGAGGACACTGAGTTGGCACGCAAGAGGACCAAGGTCCGCAAACTTTGTGAGAGTCCCGTTCAAACTGATAGTGGAGAAAGTGCCTCATTTGATGTTCAAGATCGCAAACAGAGATCGGCCGAATACTGCGCAAGCCCCGTCCAAACGGACAGCGAGGCAAATCCTTCACTCGATTTTGGAGCAAGCGACCAGGGATCGCATGAGACTCCATTTCCGAGAGACTGCATGAAGACGGCAGAAACAATCTTTACAATTTCACGTGGAGTTCAAACTATCGCCTACCAAATGGACGGACAGGTAACAATCCCGTCAATAGAGTCCCCTGAAGCATCAAGTCGATCACAGCCCCTACTTTTGAATGGACGAAGAGGCCGCTATAGGGATCCTGTATACCTTCCAAAATCATATGCCAGATCCCAACGGCTGACACACCAAGCTCCCGAGCTTGGTGTAAGCAGGCCAAGATATGTCAGTGTGACTCGGCCCGTGCTCAGGAGCAGAGTTGCATCTTGGCCTTTTAATCAAGCCGAGCAACAGAGCTTTGAGCAAGACGACCTTCAGCAGGAGAATATAGAAATCCTGTTAGTGTCACCATCTTCGAACCATGGGAGCGAGTCTCTGGAAGCTGAAGATGACGCTGATCCTGTACTGCAAACAGTTTCGCATAAACCTCACACTGCCATGGGAGGAAAGTGGTGGCTGCCCTTGGCGACGGTGTTGGTCCTGTTGCTGTCCATACTTTCCATACTCTCTCCCGACGGAGAGCGTCGATCGTGGAATCGAGTCAATGCGATGCCACATGATCCCCTGACAAAATTGCGCCAATGTCCAGACCCGCGATGTAAGGTGGTGCGGGCTGCTGAGTGGGAAATTGTTCGAAGGACCGATTCTGATATCTTGCCCTTTGGATGACCAGTCTCGTTATTTCTTGGGCAACATATCTTAAGGAGCTTTGGCGTTTGGTACTAGGCTCTTCTCTTGGGCATTCTTCTGTCAGTACCTCTCGAGAGGTAGACCTTTGGATATTGATTGTCAATGTCAATCAAATCCCGCCAAATGATGTCTTTGCCAGCCCTATGAGTTTGTGCAAGCATAGACTGGCCACAGCGTAAATAATAGATTCAATGTGGCACTCTATACACCATCTATTTCAGGCATCAGTTACATGTGACTCGTACTCCACTCTCCAGAACAAAGAGTCGTAAGCATCTGACCCAATCAGGACTAGTTGGATCGTGTTGCGTCACCCACCTCCGCCCAGCGCCACCACAGCGAATTAAAAACAGCAGACCGTAGGCAACTGTATCGACTTCTCTTTAGCCTCCCCTCCTGACAAGTGAGTGACAATAATAAGCATCAGAGTGATTATCTTCTTCAACCCAAACTCTCGAATCAGCCATCGTTTTCATCAGATATCCGACCCTTGACACCTTTCCTTTTATTCTGACTCTCTTCTTTTGTAACTTTTACCACATGTGTGCTTTTTAAAGCCCGTTGCCGACACAATGAACCTTCGTTCGTTCCTCCTCGGCAGCGCCGTCGCCCTCTGCGCCAATGCATTTCTAGTCGTCCCTGAGATAAATGGTGGAGATGTCGCTCCACAGGGTGATTTTAATGGCCTCCATCCCTTAGAAGCCTTTACTGCTCAGCAACGGCAGATCAAGCTCGTTTGCAACGAGTGCCCGTTCCGCGAAGTGAATGAGAATGGAGATGTCAGCTGGACTGACGGCTTCCTCACCTCTCTGGTGAGTCCGGCTTTCCGTTCTGTTGCAACCCCTATTGTTTTCCAACCGTATCGCTAATTGCTGTAGGCACTGAACTTCTCTATCGAAGATGGTGCTTTGCTGGTCAATGGTCATCAGATCTTCCCGCCCCCTCCCCCATCCGTTATCACTGCCGTTCAGCGCCGGGAACCTGACGGAGCAGAGTCCGACCCCATCTCATTGGGATACGCCGTCGAGTTCATGCCTCTTGGTGTGCCAAATGACGCTCCTATGGAGCTGTCAGCTGTTCGATTCACAGTCCTCGATCTGGACGGTCATCCCGTACCACTCGATACCGTTGCCATCACCATCATCAAGGACTTCAAGGGTAACATCTACATGGCGGAGACCAACTTCGAAGATACGGCTCCGAACCGCCTCTCGTGGAAACAGTGCCGTGGAAAGCCCAAGTGTCTCCGCAAGCTTCTTGTTGAACGCATCCGCGGGCTGTTTGCCGCCGCAAAGGCGCGTGTTCTTGGAATGAGGCCTAGACCCTTTGGTTGTGGCGGTGGTCGTCCTCGTCCTATGCTACACCCCTACCGCCCAGAGGGTGATTCTGATCGCGAGATCGTACCTGGACGCCGACCTGGAGATGAAGGTCCCTTCGGATTTGACGGTCGCCCTCATCACMACCATCACATGCACCATATGCATCGTGGTGGTTGGGAACGTACCCTTTCCCGCATCGTTCGTTTCATTGTTGTTCCCGCGGTTCTCGGTGTTCTTGCCGGGTTGGCCGCTAGCGCTCTCGGTATGTTGGCCGGCCAGATTGTGGTCTTCCTGTGGCAACGGCGCCGTCGCTCCGCTCCCACAGAGAATGTGGAGCAAGGAACTGTGTCAGAGAAGCAGGGTCTGATGACTCAGGCGTCCGACGAGCTTCCCCCTGCTTACAGTGATGATGAGACTGTCGAGGTGTCCGACACCAAGCAGTAAACAGTCGTGTGCAACAATCCGGATTGGTTGATAGGACACGTGAGACAGCAGTTCTGTGCCGATTGAAGAGGATGGCTTGGTGGGACTTGGGCCTATTGGGTTATCGGTGGACGACTCATTTATCATGTTGAATTTGCCTATTCTGCGATCCAGATTAAGCCTTTTGCCACATTCCCTCGGTATTTTCTGTTTGTCTCACACTCGTCGCCCTTTCCTTTGCTTACTATTACGTTACTCTGAGACTTCTATAATGTCGTGGATTAGCAAGCTTTGTTACCACTAGTTAGTAGTGAGCAGCAGCAAGGCAATGGTCTTTTTGTCGGATAGTACTCCGTAGCAAATCCAATCCATGTTGTTTCGGCCTTTCGAGACGATAAATTACAATTTGATTGCATTGTCATCATGACACTAGTCACTACTATCATCTTAACATTTTACTAGGATAACGATCGACGAGGACTAGTGGTGGTCGGAGTCATGTCTCATCCTCCGCATCAGTCACGTGAGTCATTGCGGATGCCTGCCAGGAACACCGTTCGTCTTCCAGCATTCCCCTCTTCCGGGCAACAACAACATCAGCGTCGGACTTAGGAATTCGTCGCAACTTTTCGTCTGTATTCTAGCATGCTGCGCCTGTTTCTACGATGATTCACACTTGCTATACAATCCAGTGTGGATTTTCATCCAAATTCCCTACCCGAGTCTGACTGCCGTCTGAGCTTCGATAGCTGTCAGCTCGCGCCGGACCTGGCTCCCAGCATCCCGCACCTGTGGTCAGCGGGAGGATTTGAATCAGCATCCTATCATTTTTGACCTCCATCCTCTCAATAAGTCTGTGCACACCATGATGCAGTGGTCGTCATTCGTTCAGAAAGCTCAGTCTTTCATCGACCCGGCCAATTTCAACCTACCGACTCTGACATCCTCCGATCGCAATCCCTCCAAAGCGTCCCTCTTCCGTCAGCAGTTCCGTCTCCCTGATTCCCAAAACCCATTGCAGGAAGTAACCGCCGAGTTAATTCTTCCTGTCCCGCATACCTCCGATCAATCTCGGCCTCTTGACCGCGCAGGCAATCGGTATGCCGGGAAACTCCATCTGAGCGAACGCTTTCTCTGCTTCTCCACACAGCCGACTAGCTTCGCACCGTCCTCAACACTCAGCGCCTCTACGCACTGGACCGGTCAGACGAATGGCACCGGGCCTTCTGGCAATGGTTTCACCCTTCCGCTCTGCTGTATCCGGCGGGTGGAAAGGCTGAATAGTCTCAGTCACGTCTTCTCGCTCGCGTTGACTACGTGGAATGGCGCCCTGGGAAAGCAGCAAGCTCCAGATTTTGTTCCGCAGAGATTCACCATCCAGCTAGTGGGGAGCAGGCAGGCCTGCGAACGATTTTGTGATGGCTTAAAGAAGGGACTGCGGGAAGCGATGAAGGAGATTGATAGTCTACGGATGGTTGTAAATGACTGTTACTCGGAATATTTGCTTTCCGGGGCCAAGTCCAAAGACCAGAATCCAGATAATCCTGAAGCGCGCCAACCGCCAGATGCCGGACTGGGGATGATCTTCCGTTATCCTGGTGATGCTCGCAAACTGCGTGACCGCAGCAAAATGAGGCTATGGGGGGAATACTTCAGAGGTATGGAACATTGCAATTGATAGAGAGCGTTCATTAAGATGTCTTGCGATCTAGAAAATGGCCGAAACGCAACCTTGGTTCGGCAGCCGACTTTTCATAAGCTGATTCGCGTCGGTCTACCAAATCGTCTGCGTGGAGAGATATGGGAGGTGACGTCTGGGTCTTTGTACCTTCGTCTGAGGTCGCCCAAGCTATACACAGAGACTCTGGCCAAATTTTCGGGCCAGGAGTCCTTGGCAATCGACGAAATTGAGAAGGACCTGAACCGGAGTCTCCCAGAGTACCCCGGCTTCCAAAGTGAGGAGGGCATTGGCCGGTTGCGAAGAGTCCTTACAGCTTACAGTTGGACTAATGCGGAGATTGGATATTGTCAGGCTATGAATATTGTTGTGGCAGCTCTGTTGATGTATGCAAGCCCCTACCCTATTTACCACCCACTGCTGACCCGCACAGATATATGTCAGAGACGCAAGCTTTTTTCCTGTTGTCCGTACTGTGCGATCGCCTTTTGCCAGGGTACTATTCCACAACCATGTACGGCACCCTGCTGGATCAGAAGGTGTTCGAGTCATTGGTAGAAAAGACCATGCCGGTATTGTGGGACCACCTTTCCAAGTCTGATGTTCAGCTATCAGTCGTTTCGCTTCCTTGGTTTCTGTCGCTATACATCAACTCTATGCCACTGGTCTTTGCATTCCGGGTGTTGGATGTGTTTTTCTTAGAAGGCCCAAAGGTACTCTTTCAGGTTGGCCTCGCCATCCTCCGCATCAACGGCGAAGAGCTCCTGGATGTCCAAGACGACGGGTCTTTTATTTCAGTCCTCAAATCTTACTTCTCGCGCTTGGATGAGTCGGCACATCCAAGATCGGAGAATCCAAAGCTGAGAGCCATCACGCGATTCCAAGAGTTAATGGTTGTTGCTTTCAAAGAATTCTCCGGCATCACCCATAGCACCATCACTGAACAACGTGAGAAGCATAAGGACGCGGTCCTCGAGAATATCGAGAGTTTTGCTAAACGCACATCGATTCGGAACCTTGGCCCAGACAGCAAACGCCTCAGCATGGATGACCTGGGTCTGATCTATGACCGATTTTACGAAGTGCTGTATGACCGCCAGCAGAGGCAAAGGCTTATCGACGAGGAAAAGAAGCGTCAGGAGAAGAAAAAGGCCGAACGAGCTTCAATACTCGGCCCTCCGGTAGACCGAGAGGTGGGCCGGGTCGGCCTTGGACCCAGCCCAACTCATATGGACTACGACGCATTCCGCGATTTCCTCGCTATTACAGCGAAATGGGCTGTTGCCGATTCTCCCGGGCCGTCGCGAAAGGAGTCATCGGCCGATATGAATGGCAGCCTTAAAGGCTTCGGGAAATGGGCATCTGGCATGACTAATAAGCCTGAACCTGCAGACCACGAATTCATGCAAAGGCTTTTCCGCAAATGGGCCACGGATCCATCGGAAGGCCTAAGCTTGCAAAACGTGGTCAATGGCCTCGCACGGCTGAAGGGGACTCGGGACATCATGAATAGCATTAACTACTTTTTCGATCTGTATGATGACAATGGCGATGGAAAGGTCGACCGGGAAGGCATACTTCGGATGTCAGAAGCTTTGCTCTTCCTTTCTCGCCGAGGGTTCGAGGGTACCATCACGCCGAGCCAATCTCTGGAAGATTTGAATGACCGAAATCACCCAGAACGGGATAAGCTGAGCACCGATGAAAGATTCCTGGGTAGCGTCAGCTCGTTCATCCGCCGATGTTTCGAGTATGCTGATCCTAGCAACCCCGAGGGGAAGACGACCGAAACCGCCAACGACGTGGAGGAGGCAGCTGACAAGATGGGCTCCTTTGCTATTGGAGATGACGACGAGGAGGATCTCATCGACATGGAAGACAATAACAAACCCAAGGAAACTGCAACACCGGAAGCACCAGCTAACGAGCATGATGCGGACGGCAACACAGAGCATAGCCGCAAGACATCAGAAGCTGCCAATCCGGCGCTTGATCCCAACAATCCCCTTCATATCACCCTTCCGACCTTCCGGATGGTCATTCTGGCTGATGAGCTGCTGGAGCAATTCTTTGAGACCTTCTTCCCCCAATCGTTCCGTCTTTCCGATCATCCCCACCCTGCATCAACAGCCACATCCCTTTCGTCGAATCTCACCACGTTTTCAAACATCGGCGCGGCTAAAGCCCACGTCAGCGTCGTATCAGGTGCACCAGTTGCCGGGGCATCGGGCGGTATCGTCCCCCCAGGCAAAGGTCTCCGCGGTGTCCTGGACAACATCGTCTCCGACGGCATCCGAATGGCCGCCGAGGTCAAGAAGCGAATGGACGAGGCTCAACGGGAACTGGAGCGCAATGCTCTCCACCGAGAAGACGACGAGGAAGACGAGGAGGACGATTTCGATCCCCGCAGCGGCGCCGCTGCTTCGGCCGTCATGGTCGGAGGAATATCTAGCTGGGGCGCTGGGGCATACGGCGCCGACCCCGAGCGCCGCAGCGTCCGCGACGCAGACCGTGACCTGCTCGAGGGAGCTGAAGTGCTCAGTGTCCGCGAGAAGGATAGTCTCTCGCTCATCGATGGCAAAGACGGACACCGGGGCTCGGGCGAGAGTAGTAGTGGTCATGCCTCGCAGGCAGACGCATCAGCACGACGGACATCTGATCCTGAACATGAGGACCGGGTCGTCAGTAAAGTCGTCGAATTCGACTCATAGTATTGATATTGGAATTCGTACTTTAGCATTTTTCATGGAGGTCAGCTTCGGATCCGGTGGTTTTTGGGCGACATCGATGTTCACGTCGTTATGTTTGGTAGTGTATATTGCATATCTGGTAGGCATTATGGGATTTCAAGATCTGAATTCAGTTACGCTTACATGCTTCTTATATACTATTCATGTCTGGGCGTAGCGTTGACATATAACTTGGGAGGCAATATGCTTGCAGTCCTGTACGAAAAGGCTAATCCTTGAACAAATATAGAATAGATCAATGCTTCTATCGCGTTGAATGCTAAATCTGAATCAGAGGTATGTACATCAATCAATAGACTGGTATCAACATCGTTAATCATGAGAGGTATATGAAGTCAGTCACTAGGAGACAGAGGGTATAATAAGGACATTAAAGAGTCAAATAGTGCGTGAGCTTATCAGCATCATGTTAATGCTTGAATCGTAGGTAGAAGAAAGAAGCAGTCAGGAATGTGGAAGAGATCTTCCTTCAAATGCGAAGACGAAGACGAAGAAAGACCAAAGATGCAGAGAATGAGCGGGTACTGTTACTCCTTCTGTCCCTCGTTCTCAATCAGCTCGAGGACGAGCTGGCTACGCTCGTATTCGGGATGTTGCATGCAGATCTTGACGGTCCGGCCATTACTGGCCATCGCGACGCCGTTGGATAGTCCGCTGGCTAGGTTGACGGAGGCTCCCGAGTTGGTCGGGGCGGTGTTCGCCCCAGACCCGGGCAGACTGCTTCCGTCGTCCAGGCAGACGACGTTATGGCCTGGGATGACCTGCCTCAGGCGGCCGTTCATGGCGTTGCGGACCTCGACGAAGTCCTCGTTGAAGAGGATGAGGAACTTGCCGTACAGACAGGCGGAATGGGCGCGGCCGACGAACTCCATGATGACGCTGCGGGAGACGTCGCCGTGCTTGTTGACGTACACGGCGCAGTCGGTGTAGGCGACGAGGAACTCGCTGTCGCTTAGTCGGAACATCCCCAGGGGGCGCAGGTTACTGATGCGGTGGGCGATGCTGTTCAGCTGCGCTTGTGCCTCTGGGGCTTCCGACCGGAAATCGGGGACAGACCAGGTTTGCTTCTTGTCGAGGGTGAGAATCTCGATGCCCCGCTGGGTGGAGATGGCCAGGGATGAGTGGAACATATTGATCCCGTAGCTCTCGGCAGGGATGTAGAACTCGTCGTATTCACGGAAGAACTCGGTCTGGGAGCGACGCGTATGGAACAGTCGACTCTTACTGGTGGCGGATTTTTGTAGCACGGGTTCCAGCACCTTGAAGGTGGACGACAGTCCATCACGCTTCTTGTACATCACCAGAGTACGATCTTTCATATGACCTGCAGCAAAGAACCCAACTTCCCGGTTTCCGGACAGCTTCTGCGGCGCCCGGCGAGCAGAGTCCTTTGTTGTTTGCGAGGACACCCCACTTGTAGGGCATACGACGTCCAAGTGATATGCGATTAGGGACTTGTCAGCAATCAGCAGGAAGAGATTGAACTCTTCAAAGACCGCAATCTGCGACACTCGTATGATCGGGATCGCCTGGTACCAATTTTAGAAGATGGCAATAGAACCACAATCGAAAGAACTTACTCGAACCCAACCCCGAGGGTCATTGTACTCGGAAATGTACACGCCGTAATCAGTACCGACCGCACACATCATGCGGCCTGGAGGCTGCTGGAATACAGTCGCGCAATGGACGCTGGTTCTGCAAACCGGCACAGGCCGAGACTTTGAACCCCCATATCGCTCCTCAACTTCCCTGATAGCTCGGTCCAGAGGGGTGCCTTTGATGGTGACTGTCCTCTTGGAGATACCAGAATGATCCGAAGAAGCAAAGGCCGTGTCAGCTAGCACACGAAGTCGGAAGGGCTCTGCGTTCTGCGCGAAGAGAGCAGCAGCATGTTTCGTCTTGGCTTCCATTATTTTATCGCACCACTCCTGCCGGTTCTGTGAAGAAAATGCGTATAGCGTAAAGGTCCCGTTCTTCCCAAGGTGTTTGACCTTGAAAGGGTATAGGATCTTGTCATCTTTGGAACTCTCAATCACCGTGCTTGCTACCAATGTCTTGCCAGAAGAAGAAGTCGTAGAATTGCCCGAGTTGCCGCTGTTGGAATGTATCAGGGGTGCAGCACCTGCACCACGTGTCGCGGCTTGCGGTGGAGTGACCGTCGACACCCCTCGGACGGAAGACTTGACGACGGGATCATCATTAGTGCTCTCGAGCACCAAAAGGTCCATTGGAATGGGCAGCTTGGACACATCGTAGCTTTCATATTTGATGCCCCTCGTTGGATCGCGGGTGGTGGACAGTTTGGCAAGGACGAGGTAATGGTCGAAAAGAATGGCATGTGTGTCCACGAGGAATCGAGTGCGTGTCCCAGGGCGCTGCAAGTCTCCTCGGTAGATAATCTCGCGACCGAGGTGCTGCAGATTCAGCTCTACTTCCTTCTTCATCTCCGGTCTAAGCTGCAGCTTGGCAGACAGTTCCATCAGATCGACCTTCTTGCTTGTTTCACCGACCTTATTATCACATTCCAGCGCCACGACCTTGATCTCCTCAATAGCTTGTGCCAGGTTTGTCTTTTCCTCGGAGTCCTTGACCATGTTCTTGTGAACAGTCGACAACAGTAACGTGTACCTCTGAATGCGAGTGATGGGAGCTTTGAGATAGGTATCCCAACTGAGACGATTCGACATTTTGTGCTCACGAGCCTGGTTCAAGAACTGCCGAAAGTGGGCATTTCTCTCGGTCTCCTTCCGAACAAGGTAGTTGGCGTACGGAAACGTTGCCGCGTAGTCAATATACACCGTCTTAGCCTTTCGAATCCACTCCCTGAAAATGTCACTGAAGCCGACAATGAACGGGCCTTGTTCCTTCTGCCGGTACTTGAGCTGTGCGAGGAGGTACTCTTCGTTCACTTTCTTGACCGCATCTACCCTTCCAAAAACATCGTTCAGGAACTTCGGCAATCTCTTCGGCGGAATGATGGCAGGCTGCATATTTGCCAACTGATCCCGGTAGAGTTCACGAAGGACATCTAGCTGTCCAATAAAGGCATCCTCGGTCGTGACAATCTCGTGGAGGTTGTTCTGGCGGTCCACCTCTTTCTTCGGATAAGCCTCCCACACTTCCTTCGGAACCTTGTAGAATGTGACCCAGTCCTCGACCTTCTTTTGCGGGGCCATCTTGTGCGCTTTCAGGTTGACCTTCTTCAGCGTCCGCATGCAGTGGTGCGAATAGCAGCGCCCGAGAATCTCAGTCTCCTGTTCATGTAGCAGGGGCGAATAGCAACCAGTGCCTGTAATTTGAAACAAGACTCCCGACAGGGTCCCGCTGCCGAACTTGACCCATTCCTCTTCCTTCACCAAAGCCTCCTGCTCTAACATGTTCTCGACGACTCGCGCAGCCAGTGTTTCTGCATCCGCGATATTCATCGTTGGCACCTTGTGAGTGAACAAAGCGACGATCGCCTCGACAATGGCCAATTTTCTCAGGTCGGTTTCCTCTTCGCACAGATCACGAATCCAAGCAAGGATGGCACTGAGCGCCCAAGGTTCCACGCATTTCCTGAATTGGTCCGAGGACAGTTTAGCCGGATTGAACTTCTTGCGACGTCCCGCAGGGATCGTGGGTAGGTCCAGGGGTATCGCAGGAGCCTCTTGGGCCGCGTCAAGCTTAAAGGCGCCATTCTGTTGCTGTCGAAGCAGATCCAGCTGCTGTTTGTACTTCGCMCGATCCGCATCGGTCTTGGATCTGATAGGGGGGTCAGTCCGGGGTCCAATAGGATGACTTGACAGAGATGTCGACCGTGGCACTTGAGATGTTGGTGTGGACACGGTCGACGCAAACGAATCCGCAGAAACAGGGTACTGAGGGCTTGTATACTGGGTTTCTTCCGGGTATTCACCCGATTCCTGGGGCCTATATGTCCCAGCCGGCATCAGATGGGGCATAAGATCTGCGTTATTCGCTGGTTCAACGGGAGCCGGTGGCAGTGGCCGCATCCCGGGATGGAAGAAGAGTTCTCCTGGCATCCCTCCTACATCGGATCCTTCACTTCCTGAGTGATGTACATCATCAGGGTAGGCCTCTGCCTCGTCGCCGTAATCGAAGCTCATGCGACGCTCGTAGGCGCCTGGCTCTGACAGGCCACCAGTGCCTGCAGCATCGACCCGCGCCGCGGAAACGTAGTCATAATATTGGTGCACTTGATCATCGGGCATAGGATAGTAGTCATAATCGTCCGAGTACTCGCCGCGGTCATCCGCAGAAACGTTGGAGCTGCGGAGGGAGCCGGAGGGGCCTAGCCTTGTGGCTTGATCCACGCCTTCATTGCGAGTCTCGTCAGCATGTTCATCTATGTCAGCATCGTAGTGATAGCGCCCATAATAATTGCCGCCGTACGTCGCATTGGGCGTGGAATGGGCTTCATCTTGACGAGAGTCTTGCCGAGGTGATGGCGCTCGCGCCGATGAATGACTTCCATAGGCACTGATGATCGATGCATTAGTCTCCCGCCGTGTGCGCGCTTGCTCCCGCTCGGCCTGGATCCTGTCCTCCTCGTCCGCCATTTGCAGCATGGCCAGCCCGGCCGCGGCTTCCGCATCACTGTCATCGCTGTACGCATCATAGTTAACATACTGGCCTGTGCCGGTCGCCAATGTGCCGTTTGTGTGCGTGTGCCTCTCGTCAGGAGACAATCGCATACTCGAGGTGGCAGTAACGGGAGGACTAGTGTCATATTCTTCTTGACGTGAGGTCTGAGCGCCAACATGCGGTGGCCTAATGCCATAGCGTGTCTCCCGACTCATACGGCCATCTATCACGGCCGCTTCCACTTCCCTCATCAAGTCATCATAACCTACCGGTTGCCCCGACCGCGGATCCCGATCACCGATCCCATTGAGATCATCGAGCGGCGATGAATCGCTGTCTGCGTCGATTGGGGGACCGGGCAAGGGCCGCGA